AGAAATTTGTCTGGCTATTAGGTTACTGATATTTTACTTCTTATTTTAACTTTGTTATTTTCTATGAAGTTTTGGTATTTTATTTTATTTTCTTTCAAACTATATCAAACTCACAAAGATAAAAAATAAAAATTATGTAATTTTTGATATGTTGTGGAATAAATGATGCAAATTATATAGAAATAGACAAATTCATTTTCTATTTAGTATTTTTTGTATAGCATTTTATATATTTTAATGAGTATTTTGAACATGAAAATTTATTATATAATTATAAATCTTCCAAATATTATTGTGAAATTAGTGCAAAATTTTCATGCATATGCAGAAGCACATGGTTGCACAGGTAATAAAGAATGCCGTCCTGCAAACATTGATTAAAAAATCACTAAAATTAAATCCTATAAATATTATTAGAATAGACAAACCAGAGTACTGCAAAAATTAGATTGATAACTAAAAGCAAAAGAAAAGATTAAGGAGACTAAATGAAATGTTTGTTTGGAATAAAAGTAGAGGGAGACAACTCTAGGGGTTGGAGTTCACGGATATTGGTCAACGTTGTTGATGATCAAGTCAAAGAGAGAGTTTTGTTTTATTACATTTTTGTTTAATCAGAATTGGCCGCTATCCTGGGTTCATAAGTCTAGGTTTTTTTTTGCTCTCTCTTGCACATTCTATTAACCTACCTATCGGTGATAGATTTAATACAAGAGATGCATTTGATGTTCTTAAGATTTAATAGAGAACACACAATTCTCTGTAATTATCTATAACACATGGTCCATCCATCTTGATATTTTTAATCACGATATGTCTATCATCTGCTTATGAGTTTCTAACAGACCACCTATGCTATTATAAGGGTATCCACATAGTTAATAGTTCATTATCAAATAGAGCAAAACATATAATAATGAAAAAAGCTAAAACATCAAATAAATTGCATTGATATCAACTTTAAATAGTCAAACATATGCTACAACCAATCCATAAAAATATGGATTTGTTTATTTCTAAGAGAGAAACAACACTAGATACAAAATATTTTAAACTAGTTTACAACACTAGGTAACAAATGAGAGGAATAGAAAATCTCAAGAAGAAAGTCTTGTGACGTCTGCTTGCCTTGTCTCAATTGATGATGTTTTCCTTTTCTGCTCCTTGATTTTACCTAAGAAAAAAAAATTGTGGAACCTCATTTAGGACTGCTAAAAGTCCTTTCATTCATTCATAACAATTACTTAAATAGAACATTTTCAAATTAGTTCCAAGAAAGGTACTAGTTCCTTGAAATCTACTCAAATTTGGGTAAGGCAGTATATCATGTTGCCTAGGTGTCTCGGTTGGGCTCCTAGATATCTAGCACTCTCTTTGGTACACTTTGAATGGGCCAAGGGCACTTAGGTTTGGTGCGTGGAAGTCTAGATGTCAAGCTCTTCGTTTGGCGCTTCAACATGGCTCCTTAGTGCTTGGAACAGCTCTTAGGCATTTTTTAGGCCCCTTTGCGTCTTCACGTTTTTTAACAATAATTCCAGTTTTGAATTGTTGAATTTTTTTAGCAAGGATTTTTGGCACATTTTTTTCACATTTTTCATATTGTTTTCTTCGTGCACCTGCAATACTTGAATTTAAATTATTACTGATTCAAAAATACCAAGTGCCGAGTTGATCTGCCAAGTTGGCTTATTGAATTGTCCTACTGAGTTGACAAACTGCAGGTGCTGAGTTGACCTGCCTAGCTACTAGGTGTTGAGTTGACCCTGCTAGGTGCCGAATTGACCTTATCGATTGTTGAGCTGCCTTGCCGAGCTACCAAGTGCCAAGTTCTGACTCTTGGCACACATATCTCGTATGGCTATAGGAAATGACTGGCATTATGACAAAAAGCTGTGGGATGTGTTGGAAGTCTAGATGTCAAGCTCTTCGTTTGGCGCTTCAACATGGCTCCTTAGTGCTTGGAACAGCTCTTAGGCATTTTTTAGGCCCCTTTGCGTCTTCACGTTTTTTAGCAATAATTCAACTTTTGAATTGTTGAATTTTTTTAGCAAGGATTTTTGGCACATTTTTTTCACATTTTTCATATTGTTTTCTTCGTGCACCTGCAATACTTGAATTTAAATTATTACTGATTCAAAAATACCAAGTGCCGAGTTGATCTGCCAAGTTGGCTTATTGAATTGTCCTACTGAGTTGACAAACTGCAGGTGCTGAGTTGACCTGCCTAGCTACTAGGTGTTGAGTTGACCCTGCTAGGTGCCGAATTGACCTTATCGATTGTTGAGTTGCCCTGCCGAGCCAACACTCACTCTTGGCACACATATTTCGTATGGCTATAGGAAATGACATGGCATTATGATAAAAAGCTGTGGGATGTGACATTGCATTATGCACCTTTACATATTTATATATACTTTTTATTCATTTTTTGCCAAATCATATACTAATGCAAAAGAATTCCCTATGACTCTAATAAGGAGTCAAATATTTAAACAAGATGGGGGTAAGGGAGGATTCTCTCTTCCCTTAGTATTTTCCTCTCTCTTTCTTCCTCTTCTCCACAATATTAGTAGGATTTAGTCATAACCCATGGATAAATCTGGGTTCAATATCCTGAAAGATATGGTGAATGTAGAGACATTGCTCAATGCTGAAGTTATGCGTCGATATTTCCAGAAGTACAATAAAGATCATACTAGAGGAAATCTTGCTAGAGAAGATAAGATATTCTATTCTTAGATATTTTTTTAATTATTTTTATTTCATCTTTCAACCTGATTTATCATTGATTTGTTTTTTTTTTCATTATATCTTTATCATTTTTTTCTTGGTGACATTCTATCCCAAAATATTTTAATGACTTGAACTAATAATAACATATCTAAGATCTTCAGTGATCGATTACACACTAATCAAAATTTAAAAATCTCTTCTTAAAGGCTTTTTAGCAGAGAAAATAAGAATGGGTGACCTTCTTTTTGCGACCTCGACAGAAGGTTGAATTGAAAAGCATCGAGACTACTCCTTGGACTACTCCTTAATGGTGAGGCAAGATGCCCCTAGAACAAAATCTTGCATGTGTGGCTAAAATGCCTCCATTCTTATTTTCATATAGAAGAGCTAAGAACCCTAAAAAAGATGGATAGTCAGAGCTTAGCAATTGATTGCCAACATTGCTTGCTCAAACGGAGCCATTCCAAGAGGTGAGAGAACATCTAGACAATAGCTAACAATAGGTGTTCTTCCTTAAACTCACCAAAAAAGATGGTTAAGACACCCAACACTATCTTATTGCTACAAATCCACTCATACCAAATTCTCCCCATTTGAGGCCAAAATCACATTCAATCGAGAGAAAGTCCATTTTGTCCACCAAGCCTAGATGGTTGCCTCCACAAAGGTCCATCCAAGCTAAAAATTTTGTTTAAATATCTCATACAGGCTAGCTATATCTTTGGGATGACAGGATATCCAAATTTATCCCAAAAAGATGAATAAGGTATATGTCTCACTATTAAGTATTGAATAAAAATTTTATCATTATCTAATTCTTTTTATAGCTTTCTTTTAAAAATATAAAAAAATCGAAGAACTAAATATATACATCTAAAAAAATCTATTGATTTAGCCTGTCAACTTGTCAAGTGCCGTAATAAGCGGTCAACTTGCCTGGTGCCGAAATGAACTGTTTGTTAAGTTGCTAGGCGCTGAGTTGACCCTTCCGAGTGTTGAGCTGACCTGCCTAGCTGACCTACCGAGCTCACCTGTCAAGTTGACCCACCCTGTTAAGTGTCGAGTTCATCCTAACAGGTGATGAGTTAACCTTATCAGATGTCGAGATAACATGTCGAGCTAGCCTACTGAGTTAACCCTGCCAGATGTTAACTTGTCAAGTTTTCATGTTTCGAGTTGACCCTGCTAGGTTTTGAGTTGACCTACCAAGCTACTGAGTGATGAGTTGACCCTGTCAGATGTTAAGTTGACCTTTCGAGCTACTAAATGACAAATTGACTTGTCGAGTTACCGGGTTCTGAGTTCCGACTCTCAGGACATACATTCTGTATGGCTACAAAGAGTAGTATGGCACAAAACAACGGGAGTTGTCAAAATGCTATGGGATACTACATGGCTTTATGTACTTATACATATTTATATGTACATTTTATTTATTTTGCCAAATTTTATACAAATGCAGAAGAGCACCCCAAGATCTATAAAAGGGATCAAATATTTAATCAAGAGAGGAGAGGGAGGACTCTCACTTCTCTCGGGTTCCTAATCTCTCTTTTTCTCTCCTCCTCAATACTAGTAGCATTTGGGCATAATTAATGGATAAATAGGGGTTTAACACTATGTTCTATTATTTTTAATTAACGCGAGTACAAATATCTTCAATATACATGTGATTATTTCATTTTTCACACATAAAATGAGTGGAAGCAAAATTCATTATTTTCTAGGCTATATTTTCTATCTATAAGTAACTTATTGTGCTGCTTGCTGTTAATGGATTGAACATGCCTGCAATAGCTTATGTAAATTTTTAGCAGTCTATAGAATTATGGAATGCTGGAAATGGTGATATACTAGATTTGAATCATTTGGTTAGATGGTTAGAAATCAATTATAGTTTTAAATTCTACAACCTTCTTGGAAATCCCTCAAATATGATCACTTTTATTTTTGCACACACAATGAGTGAAAATACATTGATCAATGTTCTTAAATTGCTTTCTATCTACACGAAACTAAAAGAGACCTTAGCTGATAATAGATTTACCATGGATTTCAATCTCTTGTGGAAATGTTTTACATATGACAAACATTTTGTTTAATGATCTCTACATAATTTATTTACTGTTTCTTTAATGAGAATTACTACATCAATATTGCCGCATCCGTGTTTAGAAAGTTTATCCAGCTGTAGTAATATAATGCCAAATCATCTTACAACTCCAAAGAGAATTTTGTTGTGAAATTAGTTATATATTCCCGTGCAGGAGTGCGTAAGGGGTTCCCTGAAGGACAAAACCATTGTACTTGTCACCCATCAAGTTGATTTTTTGCACAATGCTGATCTCATCCTGGTATGTGATACAATTCCACTTATGCAGTATCTTCAAGAAATTTTGGCCTAACTGCAACATTATTTGACCTTTTCCAATGCACAATAAATAATTTACTATAGTATTTCTCGCAATTTTTTTTTTAACTTTCACTATCTGGAGAATGACACTGCAAATGTTACTCGTCACAACAAAACTTTGTTTGTTGCATTAACAATAAACTTTTACTGTTCCTGTCATTTCATTGATTTGCAAGTATAAGCTGGCAAAAGTTTTTGCACATTTGTGCTAATATTGTTAGAACAAACCTTTCCATCTTCATGCCTGTTATACAAACCAATAATCGCAAGCCCCGCTGCCTCTAAATTTAATCATAAATATCAATCAAAGTTCATTTAAACTGGCCAGGTTATGCGAGATGGAATGATTGTCCAATCAGGGAAGTATGACGAGCTACTTAATGCTGGTACTGATTTTGCATCATTAGTTGCTGCACACGACAGTTCCATGGAGTTGGTTGAGCAGAGTGCACCCGCCCATGAAAGCATGGATGATCCATCTAAACCATCAAATAAATCCATCACAGATCACGATAAAGCTAATGGTGAAACTTCCACCATGTCACCTAAGGCTGAAAAGGGCTCTTCTAAGCTGATCAAGGATGAGGAGAGGGAGACTGGGCATGTCAGTTTGAATGTATACAAAACCTACATGACCGAGGCTTGGGGCTGGTGGGGAGTCATCAGTGTGCTGCTTGTTTCATTTCTGTGGCAAGGATCTCTGATTGCCTGTGATTATTGGTTGTCATTCACAACTTCAGCTAATAATTCTGCTTCGTTCAGTCCATCGCTATTTATTGAAGTTTATGTCGGCATAGCTGTGGTTTCAATTTTCCCCCTCACAGGGAGGGCCTTTCTTATAACTTCCTGGGGGCTCCAGACGGCGCAGATCTTCTTCAAGCAGATATTGAGCAGCATCTTGCATGCACCCATGTCATTTTTTGATACCACTCCTTCCGGAAGAATCCTTAGTCGAGTATTTCACTCCCTTCTTTTCGATTCCTTCATCTTACATTTACTTTATTATGTATTGTGACTTAAATGGCTATTGCAAGAGATTTCTTTCACGAATACTTAAATGTTATTTTTTCCTTCAACTGATCGGAATTCCACTGTTAGGCATCATCGGATCAAACCAACGTCGATCTCTTCATCCCGTTCTTCATTGGATTGGCTGTTGCGATGTACATTGCAGTTCTTGGCATTCTTGTGGTCATCATTCAGGTAGCTTGGCCAACTCTCGTTTTCATAATTCCACTGGGATGGCTCAACATTTGGTACCGGGTGGGTTTTCTCTTCATTCAGTAGACAAGCTTTGTTGAGCTCTATGCTTCTATCAATCCTAATTGATTGCACCTCTTAATGATTTCGTTTTAATGCAGGGCTACTTTATTACAACATCTCGTGAGTTAACTCGGCTTGATTCAATAACCAAAGCACCTGTCATCCATCACTTCTCAGAGACCATTCAGGGCGTCATGACTATTCGGTGCTTCAAGAAAGAAGAAAGGTTCTCCCAGGAGAACATCAACAGAGTTAATGCAAGCTTAACTATGGATTTTCACAACAACGCTTCTAATGAGTGGATGGGATTCCGTTTGGAGTTAATAGGAGTCTTAGTTTTATGCATTTCTGCGTTACTAATGGTTTTGCTTCCCAGCAGTATTATCAAACCAGGTTAGTTTTTAGCATTTAAACTGAAATTTGTGCTGCAATCCATTAAAAAAAGCACTGTTTTTTTCTCCCACCTAAGTAGATATGAAGCTGTGAATTTGATAAGAAGATTGAAGGCTGCTAAAAAAATTGGTTGTTTATCTTTTTGTTCCAAACGCATAGATGTGTTAGATGTGCATGTGTAGATGCATTTATACTATCAACTTTTGTGTGATGAATATGATGGGAAATCTCTAACTTCACCGGGCTTGGAATAAATTAGACATTAAACCATACCGTGGATTGACGAGATCACACAAATTTGATAAAAAACCGGAATAAAAATTAAAACAAAGGCACAATCAAAGCAACTAGAAAAGTACATGAGAATTTACGTGGAAAAACTTGAGAACCGGAAAAAGCTACGGTGCCACTCCATTAGAAATTTCCACGATGAAATTCAAAAGGTTTTACAAAGAACTCACACAAATTTTCTCTTCACACACAAAGAAAACATACAAAACTCGCTCCACAATCTTCCCTCTCCAATCCGACACAAAAAATCACACCGAATTACTGAAATTATCCTTTTCGACACTCCTCACCTTTACCAGAATGCTCGTCGAAGAATACTGAAGGAAGAAATATAGCAATACTTTAGTTTTTGTCGCTCGAATTCGGGATTAAAACCAAATCTCTCTTGCAATTTGCACTTGGCTCAGGCGCCCAAAATTGGCTCCAAGCGCCAAGCTCTCGGGAAGCTGCATCTAAATTGGGCTCTTAGGCGCCCAAAGTTAGCGCTTATGCGCCAACATCAACTGCACCCACGATAAGTGGGCACATAAGCACCCATTGTTGGCGCATATGCGCCAGCCTTCTTGCTTGAGATGCTCCGGCTTCACATGGCAACCCAACAATCTCCCACATGAAGATGATAGCTTTGAGCATCATTCCTCTGTAACTGCACCTCTATCTAAATTGTCTTCATAATCACGTACTGTGATCACGTACCGTGGTGTGGCTCACCCCTGTTTCAACCCTTTTGAAACCCAACCGAAGCCAAATATAGCTTCAGTTTCTCAACAGTCACCACCTTCATCAACATATTCGCAAAATTTTCAGCTGTGTAACATTTCCAGAAATAATTGTCCATCTTCTAGAAGAGATCGACTAAAATGATATCTGAGTTGGATGTGTTTTGTTGCATGAAAATCAACGTTGTTAGCAAGATGAATCACACTCATATTGTCACTGTAGAGTTTTTCAATTCCTTGCTTCTTTCCCAATTCTATTGTGAAATTTTGAAGCCAAATTATCTCTTTGCTAGCATCAGTGATAACGACATATTCGACCTCCATAATTGAAAATGCAATTATTTTCTGCATCCTAGAAACCCATTTCATTGCTGTGTTCCATAATGTGAAGAATATCCCGTTGTACTTCTTCTATTGTCCACATCTGTTAGATCTGAATTTACGATTTTCTTGTAGATTGATCTCTGCATTCCATAACAAAGTGCATTGTTGATTGTTTCTCTCAAATACTTGAGAATCCACTTTACGGTCTCCCAGGGATGTCTTTCTGGATTGCACATGTACCTGCTGACCACTCTCACAGCATATGCAATATCTGGGCTGATATAAATTATCACATACATCAAATTTCCAATTGCTAAAGCATGTGGAGTTTTCTTGATCTGTGTTTGTTCTGCTTCATAGTTAAACAATAGCTTCTTAGATAGTTCGAAGTGACTACCTAAGGGAGAACTAACTGGTTTCACCTCACTCATGTTGAACTTCTGTAGGATCTTCTCATCATACTCTGCTTGAGAACTTCAGTGGTCCTTCATCTCGAACTCATTTGATAACTGTTTCTTCAAGTCCCTAATTTTATCTATATCTGCCCCTACAATCAATATGTCATCCACATATAAAATAAGCAAAATATAACAGTTGCCGAAGCGTTTGATGAAACAACAATGGTTTGCCTGGTACTTCATGTACCCATTGTCTGACATGAACATGTCAAACTTTTTGTACCGTTGTCTCGAGGTCTGTTTTAAGCCATAGAGACTTTTCTTCAATCTGTACATCAAACGTTTTTTGCCTGAAATCTTGTAACCTTGTGGTTTCAGCACATATAGCTCCTCCGCCAGTTCTCCATGTAAGAAAGTTGTTTTTACATTCTTCTGCTCTAGATGTAGATCTTCCACTGCTATTAGACTTATCACAACCTTGAGAGTAATCATCTTCATCATTGGGGAGAAGATCTCTGCATAATCCACTCCTTCATTCAGTTGGAAGTCTGACTCCTCTTTCAACTTTTAGACTCATTTGTTGTACAGTGCTATTTTGTCATTTGGTAGTACTTTCAAATCCTAAATCTGATTTGACTCTAAGGATTACATTTCTTTATACATGGTAAACTCCCACTCTCTTGGATCTTCAACTTGAGTCATCTTCTCAAAACAGTATGATTCACCACTATCAGTTAGTACCAAATAGTGTAAAGAAGGAGAATACCTTTGTACGGGTCGTGTCACTCTGCTGAATCTTCTGACTTTTGTAGCAGGTGACTGAGGAACTTACAATGCTCCTTCTGATCGAGCAATACTTCTTTCTCCATCTTCCTGATTACCAATATCATATATCTCCACATATCTGAATTTTTCAAAATTAGCTAACGGAATATCCTGAGTTCTGACCCTGTCTTTGTACATCTCCATTTCGTTGAAGTGACGTCCTTTCTTATAATGAATTTCTTATTTTGATAATCCCAGAACCTGTACCAAACTCTTCTGAGCCATATCCAATGAAGGTGCACTTGACAAATTTCTAGTCAAGCTTGCTTCTGGACCCTGCACCAACATGCATATATGCAGAACACCCAAATACTTTTAAATGAGATAAACTTACCTTTTTGCCACTCCAGGTTTCTTTAGGCAAGTCTTCCTCCAAAGGTACCGATGGACTACGATTAATCAGATAAACTGCAGTGTTAACCGCTTCAGCCCAGAACTGTTTTGGCAAGCCAGCATGCAACCTCATGCTCCTGACACGCTCCGTGAATGTTCTATTCATGCGCTCAGCCAACCTATTCTGCTGCGGTGTCCTTGGGACAATGAAGTCATGCCTGACCCTCTCTGTAGCACAAAAATTCCTGAACTTTTGATCACTGTGCTCACCTCCATTTTTTGATCTGAGACACTTAAACTTTAAGATTGTTCATTTCTATCATAGCCTTCCACTTCTTAAGGACTTCAAATACATCAGATTTTTACTTTAAAAAATAAACTCATACCTTTCTCATGTGATCACCAATAAATGTGACAAAATAATGAGATCCTCTAATGGACTGAACTGGAGTAGGACCCCATACAGTAGTATGAACTAACTCTAGTTTCTTTGATTTCACCACTGGTTCGCTCTTGGAGAAAGAAACTTTCTTTTGCATTCCATATATACAATTTTCACAGAAATTCTGGTCAACCAATTTCAAATCCTGAAGTTTTTTTTTCGAAAGTAGGGAGTTCATACTTTTCTCGCTCATGTGGCCAAGCCCACGGTGCCATAGACATACATCTACTCTAGTTCCAGCCTCATGTATGAAATTAACTATTTCATTGATTAGATAACATGTGACTTCAATGTTGCCCCAACTATCACTAATGCCCCTGGTCACCTTCCACGAATCTCCTGTGAAAGTTGACACGAGTCCTGACTTTGCCAGCTAGCTCATACAAATGAGATTTCTCTTCAAATGTAAATTTTCAGACTGCTCCATTCATCAACTTGATAGCAACATCTCCCTTTCCTACTATACTGCATGCCTTACTATCTCCCAAATAAACTTTCCTTAATCACTTTGAGTGTAGTTTTTAAATACCTTTTTATTGCGGCAAACATGAAAAGAAACACCTGAATCCAATATCCAGGATTCAATACTTACTAGGGATAACACTAAAAAGTCACTTTGGGTTTCACTTGTAGAAATGCTACTTTTGTATCTCTACCACCTGCTTTTCTTAGAGCTTTGCAGTCCTTCTTGAAATGTCATTTCTTACCGCAATTCCTACAATCTCCTCTGCTTAACTTAAGTTTTTCTTTCTTGGACTTGGATCTGCCTGTCTCTATTCCTGCCCAAATTCCTTTCTCTGTTATTAACATTCACCGCAGAACCTGAAGATTTACCATTCACTGTTTTACTGCGAAATTCTTCATTCAATAACAGACCCACAATATCAATGAAGTTCAACTTCAAAGTCGATGAAGAATTACTCATCGTCGTTACCAAACCATTACAACTTTCCGACAATGAAGATAATATAAATAGTGCTTTGAATTCATCATGAAACTTGATCTCTACAGAATACAACTGACTCGTCATAGTGTTAAAGTTATTGAGATGTTCTGCCACTGACCTGTCTTTCACCATCTTGATGTTGAATAATTTTATCAAAAATATTTTATTGAAAGCAGAAAGTTTTTCGTACATCTTGGCAGTGCCACCATGACATTCACCATAGTTTTCTCATTCACAATATTGAACACAACATATAAGGAAAATGTCAACTTGATCAAACCCAGTGTGGTTCGATCCAACACTTCTCATTCCTCCATAGGCATAGATTCAAACTTCTTTGTTATTCCTTGTAGTGGCAAGTATAATTTTTACTAATACAACAAATCCTCCACTTACATATTTCAGAAAACGAAGTTCATCCAATTAAACTTCTCTACTTTGAATCTCGCTTCTTCGGCCATTGCTCTCACTCAAATCGAACCCCGCTCTGATACCAGTTGATAGGAAATCTCCAACTTTAGTGGGACTTAAAATCAATTAAAAACTAAATCACACCATCGAATAATGAGATTGCACCAATTTGATAAAAAAATTGGAATAAAAATTAAAACAGAAGCACATTCAAAGCAACTAGAAAATGATGTAAGAATATACGTGGAAAAACCTGAGCATAGAACAAAATCATGGAGCCACACCACAAAAAATTTCCACTATGAGATTCAAAAAGTTTTATAAAAAAATCACACAAGTTTTATCTCCACATACAAAGAAAACTTACAGGACTTGCTCCACAATCTTCCCTCTTCGATCTGATGCAAAAAAATCATGCCGAATTACCGAAATCCATCACTTTGACGCTCCTCACTTTCACCGGGATGCTTGTTGAAGAATACCGAAGGAAGAAATTGCAAATTTTCAATTTTCGTCGCTCGAATTTGGGATTAAAACCAAATCTCACTTGCAACCCGCACCTGGTGTTTAGTTGCTTAAACTTGGCGCCTAAGCGCCAAACCCTTGGCAAGCTGCGCAGAAATTGGGCGCTTAGGCACCCAGAGTTGGTGCACCCATGATAAGTTACTACCTGCCGCACCAAAGGGGGCACTTTATGGCTGGTGCAGGTGCGCCAGCCTTTCTGATGCTTCAGCTCCACATAGCAAGCCAACAAGATGTGCATACACATTGCATTAGAAGATCGAATCAGTTTTTGACTCGGATTATTTTTAGATTGAATTTATCAAGGAGGTTGGATTCAAACTTGCCATAACGATACAGGGCCCAGCTCAAGATAAGACCACGTAACTTTAATCCAATTTTGAGACTGGGTGAAATGAGCTTGAGGTCGTATTATTAATAGTCCTACTAAAGGTGTTACAGAAAATTTTTCACAGATTTCTGATTTTGAGCAACCATTGTTTAGAAAAAGAAATAGAACGAACTTTATATTCTAACATTATATAAACTCTGTAATGCAGAATATGTTGGGTTATCTTTATCCTATGGTCTCTCTCTCAACGGCACTCTATTTTTTGCCATTTGGATCAGTTGCTTCTTAGAGAACAGGATGGTTTCTGTGGAAAGGATAAAGCAATTCAGTGTTATTCCCCCAGAAGCTCCATGGAAAATTAAAGACTGCCTGCCTTCCCCGAATTGGCCCACTCATGGAGAAATTTCTCTCAAAGATCTAAAGGTTAATATCTGAAACAGAAGGGCGCCTTGTTCTATTCTAGATCATATGTTTGTCAATTCTCTTAGCACTGTTCTCTTTTAAAAGTTGATGCATTACTTCTTACAGGTTAAATATAGACCGAATACTCCTCTTGTTTTGAATGGAATCACACTCAACATTCACGGTGGTGAGAAGATTGGAGTTGTTGGTCGGACAGGGAGTGGAAAATCAACCCTGATTCAAGCTCTTTTCAGAATTGTAGAACCTTCTGCAGGAAAAATAATCATTGATGGAGTGGACATATGCAGTTTGGGGCTTCATGATCTCAGGTCACGCTTTGGGATTATTCCTCAAGAGCCGGTACTCTTTGATGGAACTGTGCGGAGCAATGTTGACCCAATCGGACAGTATACTGATGATGAAATTTGGCAGGTGGGAAATTATAGTGATGAGTTTCTATCTCAGCTATTACTGGACTATGACATTCTTCTGCATGTTAAGCTTATATTGTAGCATGATCTTATATTTGCAGAGCCTGGAACGATGCCAGCTCAAACAGGCTGTTGCTGCAAAACCTGAGAAGCTTGATTCTTTAGGTACCATGATCTCCTTTTTATATGAATCTTTATATTTTGAATGTTTAATTCAAAGGTTTTGATAGAGTTTGGTCGGTTCAGACCTTATATTTAACTTCATAGAGAAGTATAGTTTTCTATCTAGTAAGAATTTTGCTTGGTTCGTAGAAGAGAGCTTGCTTTTTACCCTGAACTATCAGCGAAGTTTCAACATGATTCCATCGACTATCATTTGAGAGTTCTTTGAGTTTTTCCGGTGAACTCATGGAGTAGTTAATAGAGAAGTATAGTTTTCTATCTAGTAAGAATTTTGCTTGGTTCGTTGAAGAGAGCTTGCTTTTTACCCTAAACTATCAGCGAAGTTTCAACATGATTCCATCGACCATCATTTGAGAGTTCTTTGAGTTTTTTCTGGTGAACTCATGGAGTAGTTAATAATCTGCAATATAATTGAGGAAAAGGAGTTTGTTTCCTAAATAACGGTTTTGGCCCTTGACTCAAGTTTCTGAGTTGATAGGTATCTTTTGGTTGGTGTATTTACCTAATTAAATTCTGGGTGATTAATACCATAAACACATGGTGTCAATGGCGATGATTGAAGTGCAGTAATGTCACAAAAAAATCACTTTATCAGACACAAATCTCATTGCTTCTTGGATAATATAACTTTCTAAATCAATTTTGGAATATCTCTAATTTCAATATATTTCTGGAAAATTGATTGTTGGTGGAAAAATATTTGTTCTGTGCTTTGATGAGTTGATGTGACTACCATGACATTTGGAAGATTTTTTATCAATGATCAGATACGACATTTAAAGAATAATAAACTTTCCGAAGGAGAATTCATGTTACCTTAGAAATGGACCTAATCATTCAGAGGATGAAAGACTTGTGGGTCTACATGAACCAGGTTTTTTCCCTACCTTACGGATGTAAGACGATTATTTCATTCTGGGATCTAGTATACCTACAACTGCAAACCTTCATAATTAATTACATATCTAAAATTGTGAACTCTAGAAAGAACTTTCGATTAAAATATTGGCCTATGTTACTTGGATTTCAAGGTTGGTCAAATGAAGGATTTCAAATGTGATGGAGGGATCCAAGTTTGAAGTTGAAAAACTAATCTAAAAAATTAAGACTTACAATACAATGACGATGTGTCATGGAAAGACCTAGGAGAAGGGATTTGACCATCCCCGGAAGGACGGTTCGCCCAAAAGACTTATATTTGATGATTATTGAAGAACTTTGAATTGAAGTTAATTGTGAAATCAAAAGAGTTTAAGATATACTAGGTGCGTTTGATTGATTGAAAAGTTTGAGCTTTGATTGGTTTGAGTTGAAATGGATCCTTAAACAAAAGGGAAGAGTCAGGTAAGAAAAATTTCTAGATGGAAGTGAAAGTTTTAGCTAGCCTAGAGTCTACAAGGAACCTAAGCGGGTGAACTAACCAAAAATTTGGGAATAACGCCCTCCGTCAAGATGCTTATGGTTTTCTATCATCTCAGGCATTGGTATCTTCAGACTATTAACCAATGAAATAACAGGAGGTCTCTCTTGTTACCATAACAATGACTTAAGGTAGATCCATGATTTGTTTGATTCCTAAGTTTGTCGATTTCTAGGTTTAAAGTTTTGTATTTAACATATTTTATTAAAATGTTCATGAGAAGAACCTACATGATAGGTTCTTTTCCTCTTTTTTCTTTTAGCCTTCTTAACATACAAGAAGAACTACGAAGAGCATGAAATATGATCGAACTATACATGCAACGTGAAACATGAATTGGAGCATGAAATATAAAATTAAATTTGGTTAGGCTCAAAACTTGGGCAAGGTTTGGGATGGATTGAGCTAGGGCCAGTTGAGGTCAGTTGAGGTCAGCTAAGGTTAGCTAAGGTCTGCTAAGGTCAGTTAAGGTTAGCTAAGGTCTGCTAGGTTGGATTAGGATGGGTTGGGCTAGATTGGACTAGGTTGGGGTAGCTTAGGTTGGGTTAGGTTAGGCCATGTTGGGTTCAGATTTGATGATATTTGGCAATATTGTGCGGAGATCGACGATCGAGCTTCCTCGACAATTACATCTCCCACAGATCGCTTGATGGTGATGCGACGCAACGAATGGCCACCGAGCTCGAGCAAGACGCTAGTTCAGGGCGTGAGTGGGAGCGGGTGTAAATACGGGTGTGCACGTATGCAAAGGTGCTGAGTCCCATGGGTGCCGCACATGTGCACAGAGGCGCCAGGTTGCATGGGCTCGCGAGTGTGTGCGAGCGGCCCCTACTAAAAAAATGACAAACTTGACCCACCCAGTAGAGAAAAGATAAAAAATTATAAGGAGTGAATTTTAGCTAATGTTGTTTCCATGAAAAGGAAGTTGGGGTCAAAATGTGGGTCTCACTCTACAAAAATTGAAAATTTTGACAAGAGTTCAAATGAACTTCAAATTGATCAATTTTGATGTTCTCAACTCAATTTAACTATATTTTGAGAGCTGATTTGAGCTCATTTTGAAGATGAAATCATAATTATCGGCTAAATTATCCTAATGATCGTCCAAATTATCGTGGGATAAATAAGACTTTAAGACGAAGTTCATTTTAGGTGCCGAGGGGCTCATATTAAAGATTTTAACGATCTAGACGTATTTGCATAGTCCATTTTGCAAAATAATATTCTGTTTGAAAAATTTTACATGGGATGAATTTTCATGCTTAAAGGCTCTCCACACAAAACTTCACATAAAAAAATGATCTGATGCCCATTGAAACTTATTTCACATTATTAATGTATTGATAATGAATCAAATGTAGCTTATAGCACGAAATGCCAAACACTACAATGATCTATGGAGGGAATGATAATTTCGGGGCATAAAAATGATAATTTCACAATAATCGCTTGTCGAGCTGAATTCCGACCCAATTTTAGAGTTTGATTGAAGTTAATTGTATATGATTTCTATTTTGTAAGTTTTATTTTAAGTTTATTTTAAATCCTTGAGGTGAATAAAGGGTTGATAAAAAATTAGGTCTACAGTTGTATTAATATGACGAGCCTAACATCATTAAAAGTGATCATAACCAAGCCTAAAAGAGCCCCACAAAAAGCATTCAAAACATAGTTGAAAATAATAGGATATTAATTAGAGGGCCAAACAATCTCCACATCAAGCAGACTTATGATCAAATCTAGCATCTCAATTAAAGAAATCCAATAAGCCCACAATCACTTAATTCAAAGGTCATTAAAACACTCATATGATAAAAAGGTCAATCTATGATAAATGGAATTAATATGAGTAATCTAATATGGTGTTCTGGAATTCTGATTAGATTTAACAAAATGTAACTCTAAAAAATTATAAATAAAGGTTCATTCTCAAGATGGAGAAACTTGAACCTTGGATTTGAGTTTGGAGAATTTGGAGATTTAATGAACTTCGGAGATTTGTTTGACATCTAACGCCTCCTATCACCAACGAACTCTATCATCTGACGAGTATCAGTCAACAATCATTGTCTATCTACCAATAACCATCATTGTTCAATCACTCTTGACTGACACGTCATTGTGTGACCAACATCAACCGATTGTCTGCTACAGTCACCAGATCATCATCATTCGATCACTATCATATAATCAATATCATCATCGCCCGATCATTGTCTTTTGACTAATATAATCCAAACTTCATTACTCAACTACCATCTTCAACTGCCACTACTTTCACCACAATTATCAGAAAACAAGCTAGTGTACCGTGCATCATTTTGTAACTTTATCTTCTCGAATTATAGAAAGAGTATATTTTTTTAATCTCAACCTTTATAATTGATTATTCTTTTCTTGACGAGGCTCTATAATTTTTATTATTTTTGAATTTTTCATGCATAAGCTTTGACGACTTATATACTCTTTTCCTTTACATAATTGTTGTGTGCGGGATCTTACTGTTAATCTATAACATAAATTTTTTACTCTATCAGTAGTTTAGCATTGTATGTGAGAAATATTTTGAGTATTATACTAGTTTTTATCTAATGGTTGACGGGTGTACAACTTACATTACAATATCTTCTCACTTCGACACTTGCCAATTTGAAAATTACGTTTCAACCATGTAGACCATAACCAAGCAGAAACACGCCCTCAATGCTTACCTCTGGTGGATTGCACATTCATAAGAAGGTGAAAAATTAAGCTTGAATCCTTCAACTATTAGAAGTAGCTAGGCAATAGAGAATAACATCACAATATGTTGGCAAATTCAACCAATGTTCCACCAACTTGCAGTTCCTTAATAACGTTGATAGACTTAGCCCAATCACACCATTTAGAAACCTCTCATGATATTATACGAGATGTGTTGTGTTGTGGTGTTCAAAAAGAATTTTTTTAAGGGATAGAAATTGATTTACTTTTTGGCGTAGCTTTTGGGAGTTTTCACCTTAGCTAATGAAAACCTCAGACATCCAATTTAAGTAGGATTCACGTCACTTGTTATAGATCCTTATGATGCGTATATTGATTTCTAAGAGCATATCGGTTAATATAAAACTATCATGCATATTTAACAAGCTTTAAATGTGCTTCTTTATCATGTCTTTCATGCTACCTCGAGTGTCAAAGCTATATAAGGATCTATTCTATTTGGAAGGACTGACATGGTTGTCTGCATCTTTCAAATCTTTTAATCAAATAATTCATCACAAATTAGAGAATCATCAAAGACTCATCATATATGAAATTCTTTTAAATGAAGGAGAGTAATTTAAAGAGTTTTTCCAAGATTTCTTCCTTGAGAATCATCAAATTTCAGGAGCAGATCACGAGTTATTAGAAGATGTTTTTCTTGAAGGTGTTAGTTTTTGACTTTTGTATCCTCCATTAATATGAGAGAGAATTCATTTTTATTCTGATCTTGCCCATCGAGTAAAAACACAAATTATAACTGAATAGTCAATTAATATTCATCAGAAATTCTCAAGCAAATAAAAAAATCCACAACAAGAACTTAATTGACCACTCAAACGAAAAAAATAAGAATGCTTAAGAGTTCATTAATGTTCTCAA